AAGGCAGGCAGGCTGGAGTCTTTTAAATCTTAGCAAAGCTTCTTAAAAACAATAATGCCGGGACTTCCCTGGTGGCACAGTGGTTAAGAATCCGCCTGACAATGCAGGCGACACGGGTTCGAGCCCTGGTCCAGGAAGATCCCACATGCCGCGGAGCAACTAAGCCCGTGTGCCACAACTACTGAGCCCGAGTGCCACAACTACTGAGCCCGCGTGTCTAGAGCCCGTGCTCCGCAACGAGAAGCCACCACAATGAGAAGCCCACACACCACAACGAAGAGTAGCCCCCGCTCGCCGCAACTAGAGAAAGCCTGCACGTAGCAACGAAGACCCAACGCAGCCAAAAATAAATAAATAAATAAATTTTAAAAAAGCAATAATGCCTGCTTTACATGATCCAAGGAAAGGAAGGCTACTGTCGACAGCATTTCTGGAAAGACTCTCCATTGGAATCGAAGACAAGGCTGGGCGCTGGCCAGGATGAAGAATTTCAGAATCTAAGGGCATAAGAGCCCTTAGAAATCACCAGTGGTTCGAGGATGGAGTAGAATCCTGTGTGTGGCGTGTTTTTTCAGGCTGTTGCTTGGCTTCCAGTTCTCTGGTGTTTGCGCAGGGACCTCTCGGGAGGGCCTCTTACCGTCTTCCTCTCCTGAAGCCTCTCGTTCAGGAGGGTGTGGGGGGCAGTTAGAGTGAGCAAGGGAGAGGCTCTCAGTGCATGGAACTTTAACTACTGAATGCACTGAAAATCAGAAAAATAATCACTTAGCCAGAACCCTCATCTCATGGGTCTGGGAGGCTGGGGCCCAGGGAAGTGAAGACGCTTCCTGCACCTCCTGGCTTTGTCCAGTGGTCCTTCTGCTTTACTGCAGCGTCTTGGCCCGGTGTGCTCAGATACCACAGAGGTAGCTATTCCTGGAGCCCCTTCTGCTTCCATCCACCCTGGGGATAAAGTGAAGGTCAGGGGCACCTGCTGTGACCATCCGGAAAGTGCTCATCCCAGCGTCTTACTGAGGAGGACAGAGCAGTAGGGGTCTTGGGCCACTCCCAGGGCTCTATCGAATGGGAGCTGGGAGTTTAGGGGGGCGACGTCGGGAAGGTTCCAGCCACTTCCTTCCTGGACAACATGAGAATGTCCACAGAAGCTAAGGCCCACTGGGTGTCCACGGCTCCATCAACCCCAGGCAACCGCAATGTTTCTGACTCATTCTCCTCATTTTAAAATCCCTCACCTGAGATCCCACCCTACCTTAGCCTGGAAAATAGCTCATTCCCAACGACAATCAATTATAGTCGATTATAGAACTAGAGAACCCAGGCATCACCTCTGCACAAGAACCAGTCAGAGATCCTGCCATTCAGAAACGACGGGCCTGGTTTCTCGGTGGGCATGAAAAACACAGTCCTGCAGCCCATGCCCCTGCCCGGGAAAGGCCTGTGCCCAGGCTGGTGGCATCCTGGGACCGACTGGCACCACCCCATGTAGGGCTGCCATAAAGGGTGCACTGTTTGTTTACCATGGGCCTGCATCGTTCCTGAAGCAAGTTGGCTGAAATCAACGCTTCTTAACCATTCATTTGCCACTAAATACACCCAATTATACAGCTTTCTTTCCCACCTCCCAAATCACTGCTCATTAGCCCCTTTGCTGGAGTTGGCAGGCTCTCTGCCTAGCTCTGCTGAAAGATATACTAGGGAAAAGATGAAAAAAGCAGGTACCTGGGAATTCCCTGGTGGTCCAGCGGTTGGGACTCCGTGCTTCCACTGCAGGGGACCCAGGTTCAAACCCTGGTCAGGGAACTAGGATCCCACAAGGCGCGCGTGGCACGGCCCAAAGGAAAAAAAAAAAAGCAGGTACTTGGATTATCCATGGATTTCATTTTTTGCGCTTTCTCTGGGGTGTTGGAACGATGACAGCAGGAGGGGACTAGCCTAGCTGGGCACAGATCTCTTGGTAACTGGGTACTTTGACAGAATATGGTTTCCAAAAGCAATTAAATGCTCCTCTTCCTGGCAGGGGAGTGTCCCAGCCCCGAGGTACTACGATTGTTCTGCCTCTGAACTCAGCACAGCGTTGACCTCTGATGGAGGGACTAAGGGCTCCTTTCAGAGTGGAGAGGAAAATGTAAGAGGCCCTCCCAAGAGGTCCCTGGGCAAACACCAGAGACCTAGAAGCCAACCAATGGCCTGAAAGAACACGCCGCAGGCAGGATTCTACTCCATCCTTGTACGCTGCGATGGAAGCCGAAGCTGGCAGGGCCCCCGCTCTCTGTTTTCTGAGCGCTCACATTCAGTGTTGTGTGTAGCACCGGCGGGAGGAGGGAGGGAGTTTTTCAAAGCCTCATTTTACTCAGTCTTCCAAAGCCTGGGAGCCTTCACTGGCTGTGTTCATCTTTCACTTCCCTCTTCCTCCACCGTACCTGCAATGTCCCCCACCCAGACAACCATACCGTTGCTGAGGAAAATGGCCATCCAGTCACTGTCTAAATCACGACTTAGGTTGAGAGGTGAGACAGTCAGAGACTTTGGAGGCTGAAGGTGTAAATACAGGGTCAGGAAGTGTGCCGAGAGCACCATGGATAGGTTCCTGAAGGACACGTGGGAGGGCCTGGGGCAGGGCACACGCCCCATCTGCTGTGATTTGTTTAACGCTGGTCTGTCTTCTAGAGTGTCAGCCCCGAGGGGGCAGGGGCTTGGTGGGCTCTGTTCACTGCTGATTCCTAGTGACTGGACGGGTGCCCAGCACAACACAGGCACCCATTTGTTAAGTGAACGGGTGGTTTTAGAGCGGACTGGCCCACAAGACTGACCTGTGGGGATGGATTATCTGTTATAATTTCAAGACAGACATGATGGAGACGGAAAAGGCTCAGAGAAATGGAAAGAGCGAGAGCGAGAAACATGGTTCAAGTCCAGACCTGCCCCTTATGAGGGTTAGAATCTTGGGCGCGTTACTTTTCTAAACCTCACTTCCCTCGTGTATTAAACAGGGATTGTGAGCCATCCTGCAAGTCTGCTGTGAGCCTGACTGAGGAAGTGTGTGTGAACAGCAGGTGGTGAATGCATTAAGTGTACGGATTCTGCTACGATCACTCCCCTTCCTGTTAGCGTGTCTGGACATTTCACGCCTCAGTAGTCTGTGACACCAAAAATACAGAACTTAGGGTGAAGTGTGAACAGAAGTTGACTACTTTCAAAAGTTAAGTGTGGATTTCAAGTCTACATTAGCCCTTCCCTTGCTCTTACATGTTACTGGGTTTCTTAGACTCTTTTAGCTCTAACTCTTAAGTACAGATAGCCAGGGAGGAGGGGCGATTATAGGAAAGGACCACTTCCTTCCTTATACATTTCTATAATGTTTGTGACTACTTAGAAGCAAAAGGAATAAAGATGAATTACAAATACATAAGATGGGAGAATGTCTCTGTGGCAGAACCAGTTGCTTTGCTAGAAAGACAGAGGAGATGCTCTTGGAACCCTAGGTAGTCATAACAACCAACAGATCAATGACCTAAACTCTCAGCTCCAGTCAAATGGACTCTCCCAGAAACTGTCCTTCTTCCCCTGCCTCAAATGGAAGTTCTAGGACATCGAGACATCAAGCAAGCAGCAATGAGGAGGAGGACAGGGCTGGAAAGGAACGGTCACCCAAACCCGCCCCAGGGAGGAGAGCTCTGGGCCCAGGGTCGCTTACTTCGCCTTGTACTGGGGCGGGGGGCGGGGGGGGGGTCCCTGCTCCATCAGCACTGAGGTCACCCGGGAGAACTTTTATTTTTTTTTTTAATTTATTTATTTATATTTATTTTTGGCTGTGTTGGGTCTTGGTTTCTGTGTGAGGGCTTTCTCCAGTTGCCGCAAGCGGGGGCCACTCTTCATCGCGGTGCGCAGGCCTCTCACTATCGCGGCCTCTCCTGTTGCGGAGCACAAGCTCCAGACGCACAGGCTCAGTAGTTGTGGCTCACGGGCCTAGTTGCTCCGCGGCATGTGGGATCCCCCCAGACCAGGGCTCAAACCCATGTCCCCTGCATTGGCAGGCAGATTCTCAACCACTGCGCCACCAGGGAAGCCCCCGGGAGAGCTTTTTATCGAAGGGGGAAAAGGCCCGTTGCTTTCCTTGGACATAAGGGCACTGCCAGCCTCAGTGGCACCACACTCTCCTTGCCATGGTGGCAAATCCTGATGCCAGAGATGAGCCCTGAAGACTCAAGGGGGGAGAATGACCCACCCAGAGCGCCCCCAGCACCTACAAACGCCAGCTTTCTCCTTCCACAATGCTCGCACCCAGAATACCTGCTCCTTTCTCTCCACGTGGAAACGTCTTGACCACTCCACCCTCATTCAGCATTAGCTTTTAGGCCTGACGTTTCTGTCAGCCATTGGCAGCCTTTCAATCTTGCCGGGAAATTTCTTTTCCCAACGGGCTCCAGCCGGATGAGCTTTGAGGGGGACCCACAGGAATCGCCACTGCTCCCTCCGAAACTCCGTGTGTCCACTGTGATTACACAGACGGCTGGGGCCCACCCCGACTGAACGGAGCTGCCGCTGCCTGATGCAGACCTGTTTCTGCCTGGCCTCCAGTCATCAAACGGGGCCTTTCGAGGTGGATGAGGCTGATGCTAGAGCCAAGGCACGGAGGAGAAAGAGAGGGCCCGGGGTGTCCTGTGATGGGGTGGAAAGGACCACAATGTCACCAGCCTGCAAACAGAGCCCTAACATCAGAGAAGCATCTTGCAAAAGGAGAACCAGAGTAAAACTCAGGCAGGGCTCAGAAAAACCAGTGACCGCTTCTCCACTAGCGTCTCATGCTGGGCCTGGGTGGGGTCACTCGGGGGGTCAGGGGCACACCTAAGTGGTTCCTGCTTGGAACCACTCATCCCTCTCTAGGCAGCCTCCGTGATGTGAGAGCGGAGAGGAGGAGAGAGCTACTGCCAACCTCAGGACTCGGGCAGGGGAGGGGGAGCCCTTAGCACTTCTGTTTATAAAATGTGTGTGTGGATACTTACTATTTTATCGAGCTCTTTGCCCAGGTGACTCAGGTCATCAGGGGTTTTCAGAATGCTTAAGATTTTAAAACTCTTAAGAGTTTTTCCATGAAGCCAAGAGAACAAAACTATTGATTGAAATCAAATGGTCAGTGTAATTCCCACATAGATCTAACTACCATGCCCTCTCTGGGAAAGAGCTGCCCTAGCTCATTTTTAACGTACTGGCAGATCTAACCTCTCTGGTGGAGTGGAAAAATGGGCGCAAAGAGCCCACCACCGGATCCAGCCGTTTCAGCTGCACTGCCAGGCGAGGCTGAACAGCTGCAGCTCTTAGACCAGCGTCAGCAGACCCCGCTCGGGAGACCCCCGCTCAACGCAGGGTATGCCTGGCCGGAAATAGAAGGCCACTCAGAGCCCAGCCCGGTGGGGCAACCCGCCCAGACTGAGGGCGCTGGGGACCTGGGTTGTCCTCTGTGAGAGAAGGTGGTCCCGACCTAGGAACATTCTCTCAAGGAGGGTTACTTTATCAGTACATGTCTATCCACCCTGTTTAAGGGGATCCAAATTGGGGCTGAGGAGACAGAGAACTGGGGTCGCTTACTTTTCATTTTATACACTTCTGAGCTATTTGTATATTTTTTAAAACAACTCCTCATCTTCCTAGGCTAATGTCTCACTCTCTCATCGTAGTCAGTGTCCCTTGCTGGAAGCAATGTCACCTCTTTGGCAAGTCTCCTCTGACCACCCCCCTCTGCAGCAGACCCTCTGCCAGTTCACCACCTTTTCCTGACCGAGGCCTTTAGGACACATCACAATATGAAGGTCTTTGTATTGGTTTGTCTGCTAACTTACCACTTTCTCCTCCTGAAACAGGAGGGAAGGGGCAGGGCACAACCTTTGAAAGAATAACATAGCCCGAGGACATGACATAAACTGATTAGAACCAAATGGGTCCAAGATGGCCCCCCAAACCCGGAGCCTCAGTATATGCTTATATCAGCAAGCTAAATGACACACCCACAGGCGCCATGACAGTTCCAAGATCAGTAAGGATCAAAAAGTGGGCGGTGGCCCAATTCCTGGAAATCCCCGCCCCTTCCTAAAATAGCTGGAATACTCCCCCCACTCATTAGCCTATGAAATTACCCACCCCTATAAAACCTGACAACCCTGCACCCTCGTGCCTTTCTCGCCTTCTGAGATGGCCCACGCTCTGTCTGTGGAGTGTTTCTCTCTAAATAAATCTACGTCTTACCTATCACTTTGGCTCTCACTGAATTCTTTCTGCGATGAAACATCAAGAACCCGAGCTTCATTAAGTCCTGAAACCAGGGGTGTGATCTCACTTGGAAGGCTGTGGGTTTTGGCCGGGTTCTACCCTTTTAGGGCCTAGGACAGTGAGGACAGAAGGAAGGTGATCAGTAAATGTTTTTGAAAGACACCCATCCAGTGGTATTTACGAGTGTCCGTATTCATTCCACAAGCCTGACATAGTGCAAAAACCCAGTGACAATAGAGATTTCGTCGACTATGGGACTGGCCATCACACCAGCTTCTTTGAAAGCGATCCCTAGCCTACCCTGGGGAGGACACTTTTGTGCACAAATACAAAGTAGCTCTGGGCCAAATCCAGCTACGTGTATGGCTTGTCTGTGGTTGCTTTTGAGCTACAAGGGCAGGACTGAATGGTTTCAACGAAGACCACATGGGCTGAAAATATTTACCATCTGGTCTTTGAAGAAAAAGTCTTGACAAACCATGAGCTTGAAGGAACAGAGAAGTGTAGTGTAAGACTTTGAAAACTGCACAAGAGAAAATGGCAGGGTTCACACATACACTTGCAAGTGCTAATGGTAGCTGATACCTTATTCAGGCCTTGTTATGCATGAGATCTTGTACTCAGTGCTCTGAGTGTGTCATCTCCTGTAATTTCATTCTCATTACAACTATGAGTAGGTTCTGACTGCTGAGGCTAATTGAGGTACAGTGATTTGCCAGGGTCAACATGGTCAGTGACAAACCCAAAATTCAAACCCAAATCGAGGTCTGTGTACTTGTATTTGTACCCTGCATTTGTAACCTGCGTCTGTATCCACTGTGCTGGACAGCTTCGATGGAAAGCACTTTCCAGCCGTATCGAGGAGAACCCTCCACACTCCCGAGACTGCTCTGTCTCCTCTGTGTCCTCAGAAGGCCACCTGGATGTCCCCACTGCCTTGGGGATGTTAAATGCCTACTTTCTATCTTAAATGCCCACTTCTTCTCTGTCTCTGAATTCTACCAATTTGTCAAGACTCAGTTAAGCTCGCCTTCTCTGAGGCTTCTCCTTGCCTTGGTGACTTTTTAAATCCTCCCTCCAACCAATATATGAACTGTTGGAGGGCAGAGGCTGCCTTCCACTGCAGAGCCTTTGTTCAGATTGCAAGTGTATGCAACAGACACGCTCCTCAGAAACAAAACAAAACTCTCGTGAAACCCACTGCCTCCCCTCCCCTGGAGAAGATGCTATTTAGTAGAACCACATGCCAATTCAAAATGCCAACACTCTTTAACTTGGACATCTCTCTTTAGCTATTAACAAATTGGGAACCACAAGCTTTATTGTCTGCATCTGGGATGTTTCATATTGCACTTGCCTTTTATTGTTATCATTATCATTTAACTGTGCTAACTATTAAACTCTCCACTTCTCTCTAACTCCCAGGAATCCTGCCTTCATATCAGAACACAGGTTCCCTGGATCAGCTACTGCACTGGTGTTACAGGGCATGTTCAGCATCACCAAATCTAGGCGTGAAAATAGCTGAACTCAACAACGCTGCTTAGGAACAGTGGTTGCACTTGGGGGTGTAGTTTCTGGGATGATGGCTGTGTTCGTTTCTGGCTCTAGGTGCTGGATATGTGGATGTGCTCACTTTGTGAGAACTCACTCAGCTCTACATCTAGGAGTGTAGGTATATTTTATTTTCTGTAGGTATATGCTATTTTCTGTAGGTATATTTTATTTCAATAAAAAGTTCTCAAATACCCTTTGCAAACATAGCTAACACACATGGATCTTTTTTTTTTTTTGCAGAAATCACACCTCATTTTCTTCATGCAACGTCCTTATGAAAGGATCGGTTAGACCATTTTACTAGCGGTAGGATGGGCAAAACAGGCGAAGCAACTCCTAAGGTACCATATAACAAATTCAGGAGGGATTGGTGCTCAAGGTCAAATCCGACCCCAAGACGGCTAGCCCTCCATGCCTACTGCTGTAGCTGAACCGATTCCCATTAGAAGCAGATACTCTGACTCAGAAAACCAAATGCCCTTCATATGGCAGAATCAAAATAGTTCTCTGAAACGCAACATACAGAGGAAGTGGGTAACAAGGCCCATTAGCGACGTCTAGGTGGTAAGGTCGTTTAGCCACCTTCAGACCTTGTGAAAGGGAGGAACTGGCTCTACCACAAACAGAAAAAGCGACCACTTATGCTACAGACAGAATGTCTGTGTCCCCCTACAGGTTCATATGTTGAAATCCTAACCCCCAAGGTGATGGTGTTGGGAGGTGGGGCCTTTGGGAGGCGATTATGTCATGAGGGTGGAGCCCTAATGAATGGGATTAATTCTCTTATAAAAGAGACCCAGGAGAGCTCCCTCCCTCCACCCCCCCATGTAAGGACACAGGGAGAAGTCAGTGGTCTGCAACCCAGCCCCAAACAGAGCCCTCACCAGAACCCGACCATGCTGGGACTCTGTTTTCAGGCTTCCAGCCTCCAGAACTGTGACAGATAAATGTAGGTTGCTTATAAGCCACCCAGTCTACCGTGGTCTGTTACAGCAGCCCCAACAGACCAAGACAGCTTACTAAGACTGGGTTAAGCACCAGGCTAAACACTGTACATACAGACTCTCATCAAATCTTCACAACAGCACTGATTTCATCCCTGCTTTACAGACGAGAAAACTGAGGCATGGAGAGGGTAAGGAACCTACCCAAGGTTACAGGGTTATTCATTGGCAGGGCAGGGGTTCTATCCAGGCCACCAGACTCCAGAACCCATGTTCTTACCCACGATGCTAGTCACGCCTCTTGTCGTGATTCACCCGCGGATGGGTTTCCAGCTTCTAGTGTGCGACATACCTTCTGATTCACCCTCGCTTGTCCAAACGCATCCAATGATAAGCGTCTTGTCAAGCACACCCAACTCCTTCATAAATGGCAGGCTGGTTCACAGAGTGGCTGTCTGCCCTCAGAAGATTCGTGCTTACACACATGTCCACCCCCTTTCTACCAGGACTTTCCGCATTTATTTATAAGTTGGAAATCTAAAGATAAAACACGAGGCCTACATGAAGCCATAACCAGCCCAGATTAGATTAGAAAGGTCAGCAGTCTTCCTTTGTCTTCCATTACCAAAGATGGATTGCTTTTTTATTTATGTATTTATTTTAAAAATTTATTTATTTATCTATTTTTTTTGGCTGCGTTCGGTCTTCGTTGCTGTGCATGGGCTTCCTCTAGCTGCGGCGAGCAGTGGCTACTCTTCGTTGCGGTGCGCGGGCTTCTCGTTGCAGTGGCTTCTCTTGTTGAGGAGCACAGGCTCTAGGCGTGTGGGCTTCAGTAGTTGTGGCATGCGGGCTCAGCAGTTGTGGCTCATAGCCTCTAGATCTCAGCCTCAGTAGTTGTGGCGCACGGGCTTAGTTGCTCCGTGGCATGTGGGATCTTCCCGGACCAGGGCTCGAACCCATGTCCCCTGCATTGGCAGGCAGATTCTTAACCACTGCACCACCAGGGAAGTCCCTGGATTGCTTTTAAACAAACCATTTGCTCATCCTACACTCCTTGAGTAAGCAAAAATAATACCCCATTGCATTAGCAAAGCTCAGGAAAACTAAATAAAACTTTCATTGGATGTTTGCAATGTTGCTTTTAGTTGTACATTTAGAGGAACCTTTTAGTAAGAGCACATTTTGAATCGACTTTTCTTTGTATGCTACACTGATCTTTATGAAAGGTAAAATTGCTTGCCTATGTTGCTTTTGAGGAATTTAAGTGGGGGGAGAACACGGTTATTAATTAATTAATTAATTAATTAATTTTTGGCTGTGTTGGGTCTTCGTTTCTGTGCAAGGGCTTTCTCTAGTTGCGGGAAGCGGGGGGCCACTCTTCATTGCGGTGCACGGGCCTCTCACTATCGCGGCCTCTCTTGTTGCTGAGCACAGGCTGCAGACGCGCAGGCTCACTAGTTGTGGCTCATGGGTCTAGTTGCTCCGCAGCATGTGGGATCTTCCCAGACCAGGGCTCAAACCAAAACATGGTTATTTAAATACAAGGTTTGATTTGGGACTTCCCTGGTGGTCCAGTGGGTAGAATTCCACACTTCCAATGCAGGGGGGCTCGGGTTCGATCCCTGGTTGGGTACTAGATCCCGCATGCATGCCGCAACTAAGGAGTCCACATGCTGCAAGGAAGATCCTGCGTGCCGCAACTGGGACCCGGCGCAGCCAAAATAAATAAATAAATATTAAAAAAAAACAAATTTAAGGGTTGATTTAATGAATTCTCTTCATTTTGGTCTGTTGAAGTAATTAAACCAATCTGATGAGCCTCCTCCTACCCATCAAGTCATCCCTGCCTCCACCACCATCTCACAGTTTCTGCGACTATCAGGTGAACTAGGAATTCAAATTAGGAAAACATTCCAACAATATTCCTCAAATGATTATCAATTCTGGTTTGGTTTTAAGTGAATATGAATTCTACCTTTTGTCCCTTATCTGGGACCCTTCCTCAGATAAGCTGACTCCTTCACACATCTAGTTACATGCCCTTAATAGGTCATAGTTTTTCTCTACCTGGAACTGGGACACGATCTCTACTGCAAGGAGCCCCATACACCGTAGTGTCACCATGTTCCACAGGTCACTGTCCAAAATGCAAGGTGCTTTAGGTTCTCAATCAAAGCTCTGAAATAAGCCTCTTCAAAACTGCCATCCTTGGGCAAGATTTTTCAAGGAACTTCCCAAGACCAGAGGCAGTATCACCCAGAACTGGGAAGACTGGAAGCTGCTTATCACGGGCCTTCACCCAGACTGCCACTCCCGAGAGGCAAACACAGGGGAGATCGAGGATGCAGCGACGCCGCCCAGGGATGCTCTGCAGGTGGGGCCCTCCCAGAGCTTTTCTGCTGCTACCCCCAGAGTGGGGGGTCCTGGCGGGTGGCGGCCCCTCTAAGTGACTCAGGGCCCCCAGGCCTGGCTTGTAGAAGCTCCCAGGATGCTGACCTCAACTTTGTTTTTTAAAAATAGCTCGGAGGCAGCGGCGCTCACGTGAGCCGCCGGGCTTCCCCTCCAAAATCCCGGGGCTCCCGGCGGCTCCTCGTCCTCGGGGTCGCGGAGGGTGAGGGCGGTGTCCCGAGCCCCGGTGACAGGAGGGACCCCGGCCCGCGCGAACGACCAGGGGCGCTGGATGGGGTCGGGGGCCCGGACAGGGCGGGCCGGGTTGACCTCGGGGCCCGGGCCGGGGAGGGAAGGCCGCGCTCACCTTCTTCACCGACAGCGAGATGTTCTCCAGGATTCGGTCCTTCACCTCCCGCGGCTCCATGGCGCCGCCGCCGCCGCCGCCGCCGCCGCCCCGCCGCCGCCGCTTCCCGCGCCGGGGCCCCGGGGCCGCCAGCAACCGCTGCCGCCGGCCGTACGGGGGCTCCGTCGTGCCGGCCGCGGGGCCCGGCGCCCACCGCCCGGCCCTCGCCTCGCCCGGCCCCTCGCTCCGCCGCGGCCCGGCGGCTCCGGAGCGCGGCCGGCGGGGTAGGAGGCCACGGGCTGTGCGCGGCGGCGGCTGCAGGAACTGATGTCAGGCGGGGCGGCGCCAAGGCCGGCGGTCGGGCTGGGACGCCGGCGCCGCGCCCGCGCCCGCGCCCGTAGAGCCGGGACACCGGAGACGCCGTCGGCCCTCAGACCCAGGTCCCCCGGCCTTTCTTAGAGACCCTGGAGGCCCTCCTCCGCTCCGCTCGGGGCCCCCGGAGGCCCCCTCGGACCCCAGGGATCTGGACACCTCGCCTCCCGGAGACCCCCACGGCCCAGACTCCATCGGTAGCGTCCCCTTCCTTAGCCCCGAGGTTCCCGAGAGCCCTCAATGCTCAGACTCCGGCTCTCAGGCCCCTTGGCTTCTGGCAGCGCAGAGACTCCCTCCCGGAGCTGCCCACAGACCCCGGCCGACTGGTCCCCACCGGCCAGCCTGGCCCTCACCAGCCCAGAGGACCCGGTCACTCCACTCCTCGGTTCCCCACCCTCACCTCCCGGTCCCAAACTTTCAGGCCACTCCGGGTCCTCCGTACCCCTCCCCACCTCCAAAACACACCCTCTTCGCCTCACCTTCATCTTCGGTCCTGATGCCCCTGCCAATTCTCACCCCGATCCCACTTCTAAAGCTGGTCCACATATCCTGAGGGCCCCCCACTGCCTCAGCCCTGAAACCCACCGTAACAATTCCCCTTCTCCCCGCACAGCACTCTTCCCAAATTTCATCATGTTTTGCAGCCACTTATACTTAAGGTTCTCAGTCTCCTACCTGGCTCACTTACTCATTTGGTTCCCAAATAAGTATATTCCTGATACATCCATTAGTCCCTCCTTTCTATTCCTTTTTTTTTTTGTCAATATATATCATTGTATTTATTTTTTTACGCTTTTTAAAAGTTGAGATATAGTCATACAACATATTAGTTTCAGGTGCATGACATGATTCAATATATGTATATATTGTAAAATGATCGTCATCCTTTTTATTCTTAAGATACCCCAATTCTGGGCTTCCCTGGTGGTGTAGTGGTTAAGAATCCACCTGCCAATGCAAGGGACACGGGTTTGAGCCCTGGCCGGGGAAGATCCCACATGCCGCAGAGCAACTAAGCCCGTGCACCACAACTACTGAGCCCACGTGCCACAACTACTGAAGCCCATGGGCCTAGAGCCCGTGCTCAGCAACAAGAAAAAACACTGCAGTGAGAAGCCCACGCACTGCAACTACTGAAGCCCACGTGCCTAGAGCCTGTGGTCCGCAATGAAGAGGTGCCCCCGCTCTTCGCAACTAGAGAAAGCCCATGCACAGCAACAAAGACCCAATGCAGCCATAAATAAATAAGTAAATAAATAAAATTTATTAAAAACCAAGATACCCCAATTCTCAGCTATAGCTCCCCAGTTTCTCCTCTCCTCTGCTCAGGCTACACTTCCCTCAGCCTCCAAAACCCACTCACCCCAGCACTGATCTGAAACACCGATTGTACACCTTATCCTAGATGGACTCCACCCTATACACACCAGAAAGATATCTCCCCATCCCTCAGTTCCCCAGGAAAGACCCAAGATGGTAGTAGATATTTTTTGTTTTTATGTGACTGGATAAGGGGACAAAAGTATGTGTCAGGAAAAGGAAGGAGAAACAGGTTGCTGCATTCTATTACCACCCAGGATCAGGATCAAGGGCAAGAGTTCTTAGTACCAACGACGATGATAATGATGTGTTGAGTATTGACTATGTGCCATGAACTGAACTAAGT